CGAGACTTTTGCTGGGCATACTCGTTACCATCCTTGGAAACTGGGCACCTTGCGGTCCCAGGAGGCTCGAGTAGTACGGAGTCATGGCCCACTAGCGTGTGGACATGCTGGTGGGCTAACTGCTTCTCAGCCAACTAGGATAAATGGGCAGCTCAGGGGAAGTGGATCTTGCCAGTCATCATTCTGCCAAATATAAACTTGCTGGCAACAAACCATATAATGCTAGGGGAGGGTTACTGCTCTCACCCAGTAAGTGAGGGTCCCGTTGGAAGGGTAACAGCTGGGGCACAGGATTGGGAATGGAAGTAAACCGTAAACATAAGCACGATTTGTGTAAGCCATTAGACATAGGCCATGTGGCTGTTTGCCACGTGGCTCGAAGTCCAGTCAAGAACCAGCGCCTCAACGAGGACTTAGATGATGACTATATCTGACCTCGTCCGACCCCTCAGTTCGTTCCCAGAAGTCACCGTGCACAGGTCATCCATCAGCCTCCAGCCCAGGGGTGGTGGGCCGGATCTGCGATACCGGACACAACCTTTTATCCTAAGACACCGGTAGCGTGTGTCCCCTTACATGTTTGTGAGTTGTAAATACGTTGACTAACATTGCTGTTCACCATGAACTCTTACAGGCTGGTGGCAGGGTGGTCATTGCGTACTATTGGCTCGCAACACAGACACACAGTCTCCAAAATCCACTCAGCCCATCGCTTCCACGATCGACCATAACTTCAAACGTGAGTACACGTTTTGGGCCTTTTCACTGCTTTTCCCTCCCTTTTTCTCCCATAAATGTGTTAAGCCGTAAGTGCAGTCACTCTCGCGTTGGTTTTATTGGGTAAAAGTGCTAAGCGACAGCAAATGGCACATTTTCACACTGTATTTCTGACCGGATCACTGTGTGATCACACACGCACACACTCACACACACACACACACACACACACACACACACACACACACACACACACACACACACACACACACACACACACACACACATATATATATATATATATACATATATATATATATATATGTGTGTGTGTGTGTGTGTGTGTGTGTGTGTGTATGTATATATATATATGTACACACACACACATATATATGTATATATGTATATATGTGTATATATATGTACATATTTATATATCTATATCTATATCTATATATATATAGAGAGAGAGATAGAGAGAGATACACACACACACAAATATAGATATATATCATATATATAATATATATATATATATATATATATATATATATATATATATATATATATATATATATAATATGTGTGTGTGTATGTATACATACACACACACACACACACACACACACACACACACACACACACGCACACGCACACGCACACGCACACGCACACGCACACACACATGTGTATGTGTGTGTGTGTGTGTGTGTGTGTGTGTATTTAAAGAGAGAGACACGGAAACAGGCACAGAATTATTTGTAGTCTGATATATTGTTATCAGTGGTATGCATTTCGAGAGGGTACGTCTGCCTATATTGAGAGAGATATTACATATATGGTTCACTATCAGTGGTAAATATCATCGAGAAATAAATTTTATCACGTGAACCATTTATCGCAGACTCATCAAGATAGTGAGTTATCAAAAAAGCGGCCGCATTAACTGTCGAGTCCATTCCAACGCTGGTTCTTGACACAGCTGGTAGGTCTGGTGTGGTGTGGTCTGAAATGGTCCTGAAAGAAATTGATCTAAGGGCCCCGTTTCAGTATGTAGAGTTGATTATAGAGTGTATTAACTGTATACGTAAAGTATGTCTGGACCACCGGAATAATTTGCTCTCTGTTAAAGGCAATTCCACTGATCCATAGGAATATAAGGGATACATTACCAGGCAAACGTTTTTACAAGGTACAGTAAGTGAAAATCGTACCAAGAAGTATTTGCGAAATATTGGGAAACACAATTACTACATTAATTTTGTTATAGTTGTGTCCTGCGTCTTGTAAAATAAGAGATGTAAAACCATTTATTTTAATGTGTGTGCAAATACAAAAGAAAAAAATGCTAATGGTTAAAGATTTGTATTGCATGTATTTTGGTACAATCAGTCAACATATATATATATATATATATATATATATATATATATATATATATATATATATATGTATATATATATATATATATATATATATATATATATATATATATATATATATACACACACATATATACACACGTATATATGAGAGGGTAATTAATAATTAGTATTTATGGTTTTATTTAGCCTCTCTAGATCTTTTATTCCTTCCTTTGTTGTCAGAATGATCATATGGGTGAAAGAAAACATTACCGATAATTCTAATTTATTAATTATATGTAACATATAAAATTCGTAACTTTAGAAGGCAGCAAATTAACAAAAATGTAATACGCTATGATACTGACACACACGGATAATACCCGAGAAGCGCCCAACACGCATACACTATGAATACA